ATTCGCATCTGAAGGTACGCAGTTGGCGCGGGGGGGGGGGGGGGGGGGGGGGGGGGGGGAATCTCTGTCTCTGCATTCCTTCTCTCCCTCTCCCCCTTGTGACTGCTACCAGTGGCAGACTGGCCTGTACAGTAGGCTCAAGCTTAAATCAAGTCCCAGCCTAATGAGAGAAGAAGAAGAGACTCACAAAGACTATCATTCAACACCAAGAGAAAATCAGGACGTGGAATCAAACAGTGATGTTGATATGTACGCACCGTGCGTCTCCGACACATTCGAATCTGAAAGTACGCAGTAAACTCACCACACACACGTCCATTTCTATTTCCCTGATAAAGCTCCATTGTGAACAAAATTTCCGTGTTGAAATCATAAAAATAAACAAATAAACGAGGGTAATTTGATTTAGATAATGTTTTAAAGAAGAAAGATTTTGAGATTTTATTTGGTTTCATTTTCAGATAGGCCTACATTTTCAACATTCATAAATATAACCACAATCATAACTATATAACAAACAATTTTAAAACAACTTTGATCGGGGACCCACTCAGAGGCTTTAGCTCACTCAAAGATGTGTGATCAAAAAACACAACAGCTTATCAATATGTGCTACTTGCTGTCAGAACAGATTTAACTTCATATCAACGGAGTATTTATCTGAGCAACTGCAGTGATAACATGCACGACTGATGCATTATGCAGATATTAGGGTAGTGGATGAGGGGCGCTTGATTTTACTGCCTGTACATGCATTACATACACCAACTAGAAGGGTGTGTCAGCATCGACCACTACACTATTGTGTAATAGAATTAATACGACCCACAGTCGGCTAACACCCCGTCTAGACACCGATGGCCTGTAAAGGCTTTGTCAAACGCACTCCATTCAAACTCAAAAACAAGCTGCGACCCATGCATGCAATCGATTTGAAGTTGGAGTATAAAACATGTCGTGCAATCTTGCCAAAGACAAAATTAAATTTGCTGAGCCGTCTGTGTACTGGTAGTTCTGTTAGCGTGACACACCGTCCAACATATGAAGGCTACATCCACACCGATGTGTTTTAAATGAAACCGATCTCCGTCCACACGGTGTTTCAGCATCGTTTATGAAATGATCTCCGTCCACAGTAGCATGCCTGAAACGTCTATCACGTGACTATTCGCGTACACTGGGCATGCGGGTGCCGGTATAAACAGGAAGTACATTGGTTGCTTAGTTACAGAAAATACGATGTATTATGGTACCGTTTCATAATAAAAAGGTCGTGCTTGATACTTAAGATCTTCCTCTTTATACTCATAGACAATTTAACTTCACAACAGCTGCTAGCATAGACAACAAGGCCAGTAACGCTTGTAATACGTTATCCATGTTGAAAGGAATCACCGGTAGAACAGGCCGGAAAAGGGGTCATGTGATAGGGGCGTGACGAATCAGGGAAGGACACGCCGTGACTGCGAAGACCCAATCGAGTAGCGAATGCGGGAGTCC